TTCACCCGAATTTCGGGGGTTACCACTAGTTTTAATACATTTTCAGTTTAATTTCTAATAAAATTTACCTTTAGAAAATCAATGTGAAATAATTTCGGAATCGATTACCCGGTTTGCTGAGCAACAGACACATCTGCTTTTTAAATATATATATATTTTTTTTTTTTAAATCGGCAAGTACATATCGTCCGCCGCATGCCAGAAACATGAATGTGTAAAAATTAAAATTTTGGGAGATCAAGTTTAAAAGTCTTTTATACGAGACTTAACTCTTCATTCATGAAATTGACATTGTGAAATATGTGGTTTCCGTGTACGCATGGTATTCTGGGTTTTGGTATCACATAGAACATCCAAAGGTTAATCAATTCAATCCAATAACTCAAAATTGGTAAATTTGGACATTTATGCTTCTGGCAATAGGGTGACATTCACATTTATAAATTTTTTATACGCCTGTTCTACATATTTTTGTAGTAAGAATATAGTAGTCAAATTTTGACGCCTGAGTGAATGATCGACCTATCTCGGCAGTCAGTACGAAAACGCCCTATCACAGAAAAAATTTCAAGAACGCTCTACTTCAGAATTTGGTTGAAGAATTTTATTGAAAAATAATCTATCTCAGAATTCGGTTCAAAAATGCCCGCATGCGTATGTGTAGCATGAGCATCTGTAACAGAAACTTGGAATTCAAAGAGTAGAAAAAAAGAAGATTCCCATTTTCAGTTCCAATGCTATGGCATTATCGGAAATACCACTCACAAAAAACTGTTTTTGTTTAATGCACTTTTGTGGACACAAATATAAAACACGACATCTTGTGCAATATCTTAATGTTAAATCCGTAACGAAGGCTATATCGGTCATTAACATAGAAAAAGCGTCAACTAGTTACTACACTAATAGTGATGACGATGGTAACGTTACCGATACCAAAAAGTGTGCTGAGTTTATCACATTTGGCTGCCGTTCGACTGAGCAACATTTTGTATCTAACGAGAACAAGAAAATTGTGCGGGATTTGTAATTATCCCACCGACAAACCGAGATGCTGGCTTCTAGATTGAAGCAGCAGAATTTAGGGAATTGATTGGTCAAAATTATGTACCAGAGGAGTGGAGACTTTTTTTGATGGCTTAAACAAAAGTAAAGAATGAAAAGTTTTATATCTGTGAGGACTTATTAAATGATTTTATTTATATATTCTTCTAAATGTACATATATTTAGGCTTAAAGGCAGAGTTGCTGCACAACAAAAACGAAATTCCGTCGGTACCGCTAAAAATTTTCCAATAAGGCTTAAAACAAATATAGAATACTGGAAGCTAAAAGGTGATAACTCTAATCTTACAGGAACTGAATATGCCTTGAATTTAAAGAAATTGAATAATTAAAGTTTTCAATTTAATACGTGCACATCGTTTATTAAGAAAATAAATAATATGTATGTGAATATTTAAATATTTCTTTATTAAT